CCCCATGTTGCGAAAATGGTCAAGACATACTTGGAAACGTTGAAATGGGAAATCCTACCCCACCCGCCGTATTCTCCAGACGTTGCTCCCTCTGACTATCACTTGTTTCGATCAATGGCACACGGCCTGGCTGACCAGCACTTCCGGTCTTATGAAGAAGTAAAAAATTGGATCGATTCGCGGATAGCCTCAAAAGATGATCAGTTTTTTCGACGCGGGATTCGTACGCTACCCGAAAGATGGGAGAAAGTAGTGGCCAGCGATGGACAATACTTTGAATCATAAATGTATAACCAGTTTTTTACAATAAAGCCTCGAATTTCGGAAAAAAAAACGGCGGAATCAAAGTTGTATACCTAATAGTTTGTAATTTTCTTTTTGTTTAACCAACATAAATAGCCTTATAATCCAAACATTCAATTTTAAACCTTGTTTTGAGAAATGATCTATATACATATCGGTCCTTACCTCTGTGTATAAATTTCTTTAGAATGTTCGATATAGTGAATGCTGTCATAAGATATATGTCAAGAGCTATAGGTATAAAGCTCTCAAAAATGGATTTTACAAATAAGATAGTAAAATATGTTTGATTTTTATTAAGCAATCTTGTGTTAAGGTGGGGATAGCAATGGAATTTAAGCCTTTATCTAATTGCGGACAAAATGAAAAAAAATGAATAGCCATTATTTAAAAGGATACTTATTTTCAAAATTTTTCTGTTATTGCGGATGGAAAAGTAAAAGGATTCTGTCTACCATACATTACTTTTTTATGACAAATAGAATAGTTTTAATAGAAGCTGAGATTGATCTAATGACATTGGCTTCGAAAATCGGTCAAAAATGGTAAAATGATCATGTAACTGTGACATCTAAAAAATTGAGTTTGTTGTCATTACTAATCTCGATTGTGAATTGCAACCTTTCATGGATTAAAAGTGTCTAATATGCAATTTAATTGTGACTATGGAGCTACTAAGATAATGTCATCCACATATCTGTATTATAAAGGCAATTATAATGACAATTTCTCCTGCTCTTCTAAAACTTATTTTAAAATTATGTTTATGATAGGAGGAAAGATGATCTCATCGATGTGCATAAATTTATAGAATGAACCGTTAAGAAGAAAAAATGTGTTAAAAATAAAATTCCTAGCAATCAAACTCTTCCTGTGTTATTTTTGTACTATTCGCTATATAATTCCATCTTTTGATTATACTTTTCTGGGCTAAATCAATAGGAATATTAATAAAGAGCGAAATCACGTCCAGAGAAACCAAAATATAATCGGACTTAAAATACTTTCCTTTCAACTTCTTTATCAATTGGAAGCTATTTTCCATATGATTATATGTTACTGGAATGTTTTCCTTAATGATGTAATGTAAAAAACAGGAAAGATTATAAAAAGTGGACTATTAATTGAGGATATTATTAATCTCAATGTTAATTAATCTAACATTTTGTTTATGGATTTTAGACGCGCCGTAACCTCTAGGGATAATTCCATCGGTAGTGAGAAGCCTTTTATATGTTAATTCGTCAATAAATTATTTGTTCTTCCATCTTAAAAATAGACTCCGCAAATTATTAGTGAGCTTTCTTGTGGAGTCTCTCTCTATTTTCATGTACGTATTCTCATCCGAAAGCATATTCTTTTTTTTGATAGACGAGTCTGTCAATAGCAACGATGATATTCCCTTTGTCTGCCTTAGTGAAAAATAAATCCGGGTAATCTTTAATAAATTTTTTAGTAGTTTTAATTCATTTAACTAATATAATCCGGGTAATCTTTAATAAATTTTTAAATAGTTTTAATTCATTTAACTAATATAATCTCATCACAATTCAATGATGGACAATTATGGTACAGTTTATTTAATATATTAACCGAATGATTTCTAGTTAACAATATTATTTGGACAATTATTTTCAATTTGATTTATAAATTCAATTATAGTTTTTTCTTTGATGTCAAAGGCAGTCCAAAGCGTTCATCTAGTGTAATAAGCATTGGACATCATGTAGAACATCAACGTCACTTAAATTCACAAACCATTTCTCATGTATTATGTTTAATGGACTGAATATCAAATTTGTTGAGAGAAATATGCACACTTTGTTAAAAATCAATATTTTCATTATCAGAGATCCTAATTAATGTTTGTTAATGTTTTTTTCGTATGCGAAAATAAATGACTTAATCTAAACACGCTTATATCTATATAAAATTTAATATATTTGTAACAGTCGGTCTAAAAGACTGCAGCACGCGTACTTATGTTAGTGTTTGTCCTCTCTGTCAGTCTCCGCCATTATTATATTTTTATAAATAAAACATAAAATTATAATTTTTTTATTATTTCGTT